CTTACCGGTTATCCTGTAAAGGGTCAAGAAGACTGTGAATCTATAAATAGATCTCCTGATTACCAACCGAGAGGGTAAATCTCTAAGCATTTTAACCTCTGCGTTTGTCAGTAACTGATTTTACGCTTAATCCCTGCAGCCTAGCAGCTTCACAGATGTCTATTTTTAGTTGCCTAAATTTACTCTTTAAAAATATTTAAGGAATACAATACCAGTATGTATAAGGACCTTAACTAGTTGCACAGGTTAAAGAATATAAGAGGAAAAAGAAGTGCTGAGGTCAAGCAAGCATACAAAATGCATAGACTGAAATCTAAACATCTTCAAAGCAACACGCAAATGCAAATTTTAAGCCCCAAGAGTTAGGTCACTTGGCTCCAGAAATCCTCTTCTCCTTCTTCTGGCCCTCTGATATTCTTGTGTTCTATATAGCTCACAATTTTTTTTCCAAAATGCTGACATCTCATAGGCCAAAAATTTGGAGCGAGGCATTATGACTTTAGAATGCCATTTTTCAATCTTTTACTTGAATTAGCCTTTATATTTACAAGATTAGAGCCTGGCATGCTAAATCTACACAAGCTAAAGGGCTAGTTAAGAGAGAATTTAATACTGCAAAGAGCTCAACTCCCTTATTCCAATACGATCTGCTTACCGAGTCTAAAACACACATGCTTCATTAAGCTACTTAAAGGTTTTAGTTCAAAGCAATTGCACAGCATTTAACTTCCCATCGGAAATTGTGTGTAATTCATGGACTGGTTAAAGTAATATTTCAATTACCTGAGTAAAATGCAAACATATAAAAAATTAAGATACAATTGATATTAATAATTATACTAATGACTATTTTGTTGACAATATATGATAATGAGAAACTGATTACCACATTTGCCTCTATCTTCCAATACAGCTAGGTAAGTTATAAAGAGAAATTTACAAGGAAATGTTTATATTCACCAATATACTGCAATATTAAATATATAGGCTTTGGAAAAGATTGAAACTTAAGGAAATTGTAGATTGTTAAATCCTAACATTTTCACTTAAAATTGAGGAGTACATATAAATATAATACAAAGAAATAATTTTGTTGTCTTGATAAGTAGCTTGGACACCTGATACCACTTTGAGGCTCCAAGTATTTGAGAGAAAGTACTTTCGTACATAAGGAAAGATAGCTTTTTACATTCTCAAATAATGATTAATGACAAGCAGTAAGAAAGAAAAAGCTTTAAATAAATGACTATTGTCCATTAACAGTTCATCCCAAACTCATAATCAAAATGTCTGCCTTAAATTATGTACACACAACTATACAAAAATTGAATTGGGAAGTAGTGCTTGGTGAATTTGTCCTCCTGTTTCCATGGAAACAGATGTTGTATTGCATCTCCTTAAGGCTGGTTTTAAAGTGGAAAACTACAGTACATTAATATCTCAGAAAGTTTAAAACAATATATCTCATAGATTTCTGAATTTATTGGGTTTTCGAAACAGCAGTTCATAGCATGCCTATATTATACTGCATGTAGGGTGCCTTTTATTTCCACTGAGTTTATTACCTGTTTGATTCTCTCTTGCCATCCCTCCCATCCCTCATTTCAGTAGAATGGCTCAAGAGTAAAAGTCTTTCCTTATTTGACTTCGCATCCTTAGCATATAATATAGGTTCCAGCTCAAGCTCTTATTTAATAAATGCATTTTGAATGAATAAAATATAGTAATATAAGCTATTTTCTCCTTATAGTTATAAGAAAAAGTGAGCTTTAGTGTCAGACTAACATGTATTTGAATCCTGACTTCAACAGCTAGCTATATGACCCATATGTCAATCACACAAACTTTCTACATGTCAGTTTCCATATTAAATTGGAGATAATAACAAAACTCAAGTCATGGAGCTGTTGTGATTCTTAAGCAATGTAACTGTTACAAAGCATCTAGCAGAATGTTTGACGTAGTAAGAAAGCAATAAATGGTAGCTAGAATAATTAAAATAATTACTGGTGTTGCTACTACTTCTTTCCAGACATTGTGCTAGATGCTTTTTATCTTCAATCATCCCTATACCTCTGTATTTCTATCTTCATTCTGTGGCAAGTAAGTATCAGAGAGGATACTGAGTGCCACTCAAGCTGTGAGGTCAGGATTTACACCCTCCTTGGCTTGACTCCAAAGCCTGGAGATTTTTCCAATACAACACGCTGCCTCTTCTGAATATGTTTCAGAAATCCACAAAGGTACAATCCCTCTCTTTAAAAGCTTTTCAAAATATTTCTATAAATTAAAATATGGCCACCTGATCCATTACAGAAGACAGCTAATTGAAAATCAGTAGGTTGTACAAAGGAACTGGCCCACACTATGCTTTTACTTTTTCAGGAAGTCAATAATTAGGTTTCTTTAATGTAGCACTGCAAATCATAAAATTGGATTTTTAACGTGGAAGTAAACATCCAGGTTCCATTTCAGAGCCTTGAGTAGTTCCCAGGAGTCACCCCAGTGGCCCCAGAGAATTTCCAAAAAGTCCTCTTTACTCAAATCTGTCTTGTTATAGGCCGTGGTCATACCTCCTTTTAGAAAAAGTAATCAATGTTTACTCATCAGCTGGGTTTGTTGCCAACAGTGGGAGAAATACGCTACCACATGTTAGAAAAACTCCCTTCTTCTCAGAGTACAGTCAGGTTCAGGATTGTTAAATTTTTCAATAAAGAAACTAGACACTTTCTTGGAGATCTTTAGTAGAACTAGATTATAATAACTAGCATGCAAACAGTGTTCAAGTTTAAAAGGCAGTCTCAGGAGCAGCCTAGTGGCGTAGTGGTTAAGTTCGTGCACTTCGCTTTGGTGGCCCAAGGTTCACAGGTTTGGCTCCCAGGAGTGGACCAAGCACCACTTGTCAAGCCACACTGTGGCGGCATCCCACATGAAATAGAGGAAGATTGGCACAGATGTTAGTTAAGTGACCATCTTCCTCAAGCAAAAAGAGGAAGATGGGCAGCAGATGTTAGCTCAGGGCCCATCTTCCTCACCAAAAAAAACCCCCAAAAACCAAAACACTCTCACATATTTTATGTATTGAATATAAATCCATGTGACATTAATGTTAACATGGGAATATCGTGTATTCAAAAACAACAGCAACAACACCACCCCCTACCAAGAAAAGGAAACAAAAATTTTAAAAATAAAACCCTGAGGCACAAGACTATTAAGTGACTACAGTCACATACCTAGAAAGCGGTACATTCAGTGTTATTACACATGAACCTTTTCACTAAATTATTCAAATTAATGTTAAATATAGGTAAACTGAAAGATTCTATAAGAGATATTTACATGCCTAATGAGGAAGTGGAGATTTAGCAAATAGTGTATGGATATGACACAGAAAAACAGTCTTTAAAAACAATTCAGCTGGGGCTCCATTCAGTTTGAGTACTTTTTTCTTTAATTACTTTCTAGTTAATCATAAATTATGTTTATAGATTAAACTTACAGAGCAGATAAAGTTACAGATTTTCTTGGCAAACGAACCAAAAAAATATTATATTGAACTGTATAAATTTTCAGATATTTTATTATGGCCTACAAAAATGGCAGTTTCGATCTAAGAATAAACTTAATAGTTATTTTCCAAACGCATTATATTTTTGCTGTTGAAATGCTTTAATTGCAACCAATATTAAATTAGTTTTGATTCCCAAACCTAATCTCTATTAAGTGGGAAATTACCAATATGGAGCATATAATTCATAAGGGAATAATTCCTATTTTGAGCAATTGAATATATATTATGAATATATGTTTGTATAGTTAGGATGAAGCCAACTGTGCATTATCTAAAGATAATAGATATTTTGGAAAAGAATGATACAGATCAAAGGTTCTCAGTAGGCCCACAGGGTCAATACGATTTTAATAATAATACTACTATATTACCTGCAGTTTTCACTCTCACATCTTGTGAAGGTACAAGGAGTCTTCCAGAGGCTACATGTTGTGTGATATTATAGCAGACTGAATACTGACACAGATTTAAGAATCCAGCTGTCTTCTATTAGGCCAGACATTAACGCAACTTACAAAAATATTAATGATGCTAATCTTCTTACTATTTGATTTTGCTTTGGAAAATAAATTTATTTTTCAAAACTATGTCACTTATATTAACATGTAATGGATTATTATATTACTTTTAAGTTATCAGTTTTAACTTCACTAGAGTAAATATTAATAGCTATAATCCATGTTTTTGGGTTTGTAGCTTTTGCTTAAAAGCTCTTTGGGGTTCACAATAAATTTCAAAAGTATAAGGGTCCATACAGCCAGCTCTGGTGGTCTCATGGTTAAGATTTGGCTCTCATTGCGAGGCCCAGGTTCATTTCCTGGTCAGGGAATCACACCACCGGTCTTTTGGTTGTCATACTGTGGCAGCTGCATGTTGTTGTAATGCTGAAGCTATGCCACCAGTATTTCAAACACCAACAGGGTCTCCCATGGTGGACAGGCTTCAGTGGAGCTTCCAGACTAAGACAGACTAGGAAGAAGGACTCGGCCACCCACCTCTGAAAAGACTGGCCATGACAACTCTGTGAATAGCAGCAGAGCACTGTCTGATAGAGCACTGGAAGGAGAGAGGATGGGGCAAAAAAGACTGAGCAGGGTTCTGCTCTGCTGTACGCAGGGGTGCTAGCAGTTGGAAGCAACTCAATGCCATCACCACCAACTAAAGGTCCATATAACCAGAAAGTTTCAGAATTGTTGGTATATAAACAAGGAAGTACTATTTATTCAGTCTTAAACTATTGCCTTACTTTTACAAATCCCAATGATAAAGACCTTTATGGTCCTTGTAATATATAAGAAGCCATTTAAAATAGATTTATTTAAAAACCCTTACAGCATTTTATTCATAACATAAAAAATATGGAGCTCCTTAGAAATTGCTCCATTTGCAAAATATATTTATAACAACCAAAATAAATAATTCATACCTCACCAAGTGAGTAATAACGTCTTGGGATCTGGGAGTCCGGATAGATGTTTTCAAGGTACCAAGAAAAGGGCTTACACTTCAGATTTTCTCTTAGTGATTTTCTGACCGACACATCTCCATAATCCACTTTGACAACACCTGGAAGTTTTCAGAGAAACACACAAATCAGTTTGTGCTATTTTTGTTTTAGCACTGTTTCAATCTGTTTACTTTGTTATCAGTCTTTTTCTCTATAATTATAGTTCCATCAAATTCAATTGCACATTCAGCTGCTACTACACTGATTTTCTTACTACCATCCAATTAGTACATTAAACAGATGTAAAAAACAGTTCTTCCATTGGTTATGACTTTTCAAAGGCAAATATTTATCACCAAGTACTTATTTTTCTTGGGTTGAATAATTAACCAAGTAAGTGTAAATTGGTATTGATTTAGCATCTCATAATCAAAGCTTAACTGAACTGTATGATAATGTGGTTCTTTCTCTTTAAGAAAAATTTCAATAGCGCCAATGTTTATTAATGCTTATATTTTCCATACAGTGTCATTTATTCACCATCTGTAGATTTCATGAGAAATTTATATAAATATGATCCTCACAATGGACGGCACTTTTGTTCTAACTTTCCTTTTTCTTGTTGAACTTTTATTCTATCTAGGTTTACCATAGATCTGATTTTTTTGTTGACATTTTTTCCTGTTCTTTTTTATAAGTTAGCATAAGCCACCTCAAATCCTTAGATGAGTAAACTGGTAAATAAATAAGCATGAAGAAATTAACATAATCAATTGGAATATACTCACGTGTATATTAAAATTGCTTAATTTTATTTCATATAATAGAATATATGAAATTAAAATGAATATTTCCATTGAAGATCATAAAAGAATGTTTTCTGGTTGTGGATTAAAAAACTGATTTGTTTTTCTTTTTTTTATTAAAGATTGCCACCTGAGGTAACATCTGTTGCCAGTCTTTTTTTTTTTCTTCTTCTCCCCAAAGCCCTCCAGTACATAGCTGTATATTCTGGTTGTAGGTCCTTCTGGTTCTGCTATGTGGGACACCACCTCAGCATAGCCTGATGAGTGGTGCTAGGTCAGCACCCACGATCTGAATGGGCGAAACCCTGGGCTGCTGAAGTGGAGCGATTGAACTTCACCACTCGGCCATGGCGCTGGCCCTACCACTGATTTTTATATAAAATGATATCATGGTGACATGATTTGCTCATTATTATCAATATTTCAAATTATATTTGACTGAAATGACTAAATAACTGTGATAAGATTGCAATTATTTCTTAGAGTATTTTGAAAAGATCTCTGTTTAATGTGTTTCTTTCAGACTGGTAAGCAACCAGACTTTGGCACAGAAAAGAAAATGACCCAGCTTTTAGTATATTCTATCCCAACCATGCAGCAAAGCCAACCGATCATTCTGTAAAATAGGAAACAATTGTTAAGACAACCTAAATATCTGTAACTAATGCCATTATTTGGGTAACTATCTTCAAAAGTGGCAACACTCTTGAAGGTCATCACCAGCTAGTTCTGCCCTCCTCCCACTGTCTCTTCAGAATTTTTGTTTTTTCAAAATTAAATGCCCTAGTGTTGTTAGAAAGCATTCTGATGCTATTTAAGCGGCCAAACCATTTCCCTCTAAAATAAAATATTGATTTTTCTTGCTGATGTGTGTAGAGAAAACAACAAGATCTTTAGTCTTTTTAAAGAGAGAAATATTTACTTTCAAAATAATTCTATCCAGAACTTCCGATCTGGGGTGCAACCTTCAAAAGAAGAGGCTCGAAAACATTTACAAAATAGAATAGAATAGAAGAGGCTCGAAAACATTTACTAAAAGAATTTCTCTTTGTGTTAACTGCTATAGCAATTGAAATGGTCTAATTGAAAGTCTTCAAAATCATATAAAAAGATGACGTTGGGTCCAAGAAGAAAAGGCACTGTGGTTTCAGAGGACTTAGTTCAATAGTCAGTTTTACCGTTCCAGTTTCATTTGTGAGGTGGGTTCTTCACACACGCCAAGGTCATTCCCAACTTCTGTTTGGATTGGTTTTGCTCTGGATCTTATGAGAGTTGTCTTTCACTTTGTCAGAGTCTCTGCTCAAGCTTCATTCCTCAGGTTCATTCTCACCTTCCTGTAGAAAGTGATCCCTCCCTCCCGTCATCCTGGGTCATGCTCTATCCCTCTATCCTGCTTAATTGTTCTCCAGGGCACCTATTACTACTTGATATTATATTATAGATTAATTTGCTCATTGTCTCCCTAACAAAAATTTTGGACAAATTATTTATTCTCTTGAAGCCTAAGGTATCCTATTTAATAATATCTTGTAAGATGTTGTAAATACTAAATAATGTCTGAAAAAGCATAAAGTCCATGGTATATAATAATTGTTGAATACATATTGAATATTGTAATGGATATCTGCTGTTTTTGCATGCCCAGCATCCATTCTGTCTTCTGATAAGAGAGTTCAAGTTTTCTTTTGGCAACTAACTCTCCCCCACTTTTGGTTTGCATGGTTTGGGGACGCCACTCTTCTACCCACCTTTCCAGCTCCAATTGCGGCAGAGACTAAGGCATATCACCCAGAAATCTTGTTAAAATGCAGATTCTGATTCAGTTGGTCTGGAGTGAGGCCTGAGAGTCTGCATATCTAACAAACTCCCAAGGGATGCTGCTGTTGTTCAGGCCAAATTCTGAGTAAGCCCAAGACAATCAGAGCCTTCCATTTCTCAACCTTACACCCAACCCATTGTAATGATTGGCTCAGGAATGGGTATGGGAACCAGCCAGCCTAATAAAAGTATACTGAGAATTTTGCTAGGACTATTAAGAAGTTGAAGCTCTATTTCATCTGGAATTGCTAGCTATAAGATGATTTAAGCCCAGAACTTCTGGGGTTACCATATAGAGAATGCCTAAGTCAGTGATGCCAATACAGGAGTAAGGTAAATAAACAGATGGAAAGAGAAAGAGAAAAAGACAAAGATAGAGAACAGAGGGCAAGCCAAGATGAATCCAACAGATTTTTACTGTGTTGCAACTATATACAAGGCATGTTTTCTAGGCACCTGGGATATATCAATGAACAAAACAAAAGTATTTTCCTCTAGGGAGTTTACATTATGTGTGTATTGCATTATACATTATTATTTTTTTCAAAGGCAACTTACAAGAGTTGCAAGTTTTAAGGTAAGTCTTTCCATGAGACTTGCACAAACGCTGGAAAAGCTTTGACAGGGATAAAGATTCATAATGAGCTAGAAAAAAAGAGTATTTTAATTAACTCCAGGTTTGCAGGTTTGATTAATAGGTAAATGATAACACTTATGGGTTGTTCTACTTTATTTAATAACGTCTCCTTTATTCATCATTTTTAAATCTATTTCATGGTAGTATTAAATTAATATATGTGGAGCAATCATGTTTTAAATTCTTAAATAGGTAATAGATAGAAGACCATCATAGTCTCAGTCAAGTTCTTCCCCTAGTAGATGCCTAACAAGCCTAATGGTTCTTATTCCCTATAATCAAAGCACCTGATGACAGAATAGCCTGATTATAGGCTAAAGCCTAGAGTTTTATGTATAAGAATATATACTGTAGCATATCTTAAAGTGGAGAAAAGGGGAAATAATTCAATAAGGGAATGCTTAAGTAAATCAATGGTATATCCAATTGACAAACTATAATTCATACATTGAAACAATTACGTCTATAAGAATATGGAAAAATGTTTATAAATAAAAATATAAAGAATTTTTATTATATTGTCATTATAAGTAAGTAAAATGAAAACATATGGGATAACAAAACTGAGAAAAATAAAACAGCACATTCCATTTGGTACTAAAAAAATAAAGAGAGAGAGAACTAAAAAAATCTCCTATTTTTTCCTTAAGTACAACAATTAAAACTATGAAACTAATCATAAAGATTTTTATATACAATGATATATTAATATACTTGCATATTATAGTTGAGTGGTATACATAGATTCAGCTAAGAATTTTTTTGGTAATATTTTAAAATTTTCCTATAAACAGGAAATCATCTTCTCTGTTATTTACTTGAATAATTGTCACCAGGAGTTTTAAGAATAAGGATCTGCATTTCTTTCTCCTCAAAAGTAAGAAAATAAAAAGATCAATCATTTTTAAGCCAACTAGGGACTACCGTATTCTGAGTATAAAAATACTATATTGTGTCAGAGGTTTAGCAGATTACTTGGAATAATTTTTTTAGTTTAAAATTACTCTTTTAATCTACACTTTTCATTTTACCCATTCTTGATAGGCACCCAAATTACCCAGCCTCATCACTGCTCATTAGGAAGTCACTACATAGAACTATATTAACAGGCTGATGGCCCATACCAGCTAATAATACATAGTGATTATCTGTTGAATTTGTCATTTACTATTATTACTGCAATTTTATTTGAATGGAATAAAAATGAGATAATGAATTATACAAAGATCATAGGTTCAGCTGAGAGCTATGTCACACAGAAGAAGTAAATATTATACAACATCTCAATTTATTTGTCTGTCTGATCTCCATAGTCAAAAGTGTGGGCCAGCCCCGTGGCCTAGTGGTTAAGTTCAGTGTGCTCTGCTTTGGTGGCCTGGGTTCAGATCCTGGGTGTGGACCTATAGCATTCATCAGTGGCCATCCTATGGCAGTGACCCACATGCAAAATTAAGGAAGATTAGCACAGATGTTTGCTCAGGGCAAATCTTCCCTAAGCCAAAAAAAAAAAAAAAGAGGAAGATTGGCAATGGATGTTAGCTCAGGGCAAAATCTTCTTCAGGAAAAAAAAAGTTTGGCCAGGTCTTGAGGTAAAATTTTCTAGGTAATTGCATCAAATTTCAGTTCAATATTTGACAATGAACACCTCATATTCAACTGCTTTGTTCCAGATCAGTGAGAATATGAGAAGTAAGAAAAGTGAATCTTTGCAATAGCCTTTTAAAATAAAGGTCAATTTGATATCAGTTGAGGTAAATGGACTGTAACATCTACAATCTCTGGGAAAAATTTCTAAGTAAGGACCTTTAAAGCAATGTTTACCATCCTTCAGAAGCTAGAGCAGCCAGGGTACGTAGTC